GGATGTTGTAAGTTTTTAAATTAATTATTTTTCTTTAAGAAATGTATTTTTTAAATTTATTTGATTCAAAAAAATTGTACACGAAATATTTTATTCGTGTACAATTTTAACTCCGCCTACGTTGATTGTAGCCGGTCCCAAGCCCGGAAAAAGGAGGAGGGTTGTAATTTGTAACTTTTATTTATTTTGTTATTCGTATAAATTACATAATTTTGAAAGTTGTACTTTTATTTAATTTGTAATTTGTATAAATAATAAATGATGCAATTTTTAAATTCTTTCAAAAAAATGTCATTCAACAATTAGCATATAAAAAAAATGTCATTAAAAAAAAAAAAAAAAAAAACCAAGCCGGCCCGAGCCGAGCAGGCTCGGCTCGTAAAAAGCCCGAGCCAAAAGCTCGGGCCGAGCCTTCTTTTTTTGGGCGAGCTTTGGCTCGGCTCGGCTCGGGCCCAAAAAAAGCCCGTTGTGATTTCCTCGAGCCGAGCCCGAGCCCAAGATTTCGGCTCGCGAGCCGGCTCGGCTCGGCTCGTTTACATCCCTACTCGTGAGTCACAAAAAAATAATAGATTAATAGCAGAAAATCCCCTAGAAATGTTTTCATGTCTAATATACCTTCTTATTTATTGCAAAGCACAAATTCCCGTCCTCTACTTCCACTCCGCATAGACTCATCAATGAAAGCAACAAAAGCATGAACAGCTTCACACCAATGTCTAACTTTCAAGAAACATTAAGTTTGAATTAGTAAACATTAGGACATTTGGTTATATCGTAATTATCATTTCTTAATTTTCTTGTAATTAATGAAGAAGAGAAGATGAAAATATTGGACAATAAAGAATGGTGAGTGTGGGGTGAGGCAGGAGAGTAAGAAGATAAAGTTGTAAAGATTTGGGATTGCGGGTGGTATAAATAAAAGATTTTTGTGTAATTTATCCAAAAAAAAAAGTTTGGGACATAATTGCAATTATTTCATTTTAGTTTTGGCAATCTTTACTATTTTTAATGGTAAAATTAATAGAATTGGACGATAGAGAGTTTTCCACACAAAAAATGTTGTATTTTGCACAAAAGGTTTAAATTATGGGGTTTTCTGTGATTTCCAATATGTATGGGATATATTGTATAAGGAAACATTTCTAGGGGTTTTTTGCTATAATCCTGGCTGCAATTATTTCTTTTTAATTTTAGCAATTTTTACTTTTTAATAGTTAAACTAACAAAAAAATATTGTATTTCATACAAAAGGTTTCAATTAGGGGGTTTTCTATTATTTTCAATAGATATGGGGGTATATCGCACTTGGAAATGCTTCTTGGATGTTTTCTTCTATTAATCCAAAAAAAAAAAAAAAATTATATATATGTATAGTCAATACTTCATACCATTGTTTAAGCCCATATTTTTCCCCCATTCGTTCGAACCATTTTTTCTCGTAAGCATAAAAATTTTCACTACTTTTTTACTACATGTTCTCTAAAAATTCACTATTCAAAACAATATGTTCCCCAAAAATGGCCACCAAATAGGGGCTAAATAATTGGAGTCCACTTATTAAATAGTGACACAAATACAAATAAATAAAACTCATACCATTTAAATAGTGACAAGGACAACTAAATTTCATATTTTAAGAGTACAATAAAGTTTTCATAACATGCATTTGTTTCTCAACCAAGTATTGTATAAATATACAAAATTGGAGTGCAGTTGTGGGTTTTGTTTTCAAGTTTCCAACCAAATAAATTATGGGAACACTATTACTACATTATAAAAACCACTTTTCAAAATTGACAAACTCTTTAAAAACTTTCATAAATCAGGTGGCAAATCAAAATATTAAAATATAATTATATTATAATATACACTATATTTGGATTAAATATGCTATACTAAATTATCTCCGATAAATCAGTTATTATACTATATTTAAAAGATATTTCTCACTCTCCTCCCACAATCGAACATGATTTTCTTTCTCTACAAATCCTAGCCCACTAAAAACTCTCCAAAATCACAAAATTTAATCATTTTCCTGGATTTCGAGCCACAATCAATGAATGAGGTCACAATTCCATAGACATACTTTGATTTTTATTGTTCTAGAAACGTTGAAGCTCGACTGCGGAGGAATTGTATTTTTTTTCCAAGCAAAAATTGAACTTCTGTAGTCTGATTTCGAAAGTAAATTTATAATCACCGTTAATCCTCGATTTCGAGTCATAATCAATGAATAAGGTCACAATCCTATCGACATACTTCTGATTTTCATTTTTCTAGAGAAGTTGAAGCTCAGCTGTGGAGGAATTGGATTTTCTCGAAACAAAAATTGAACTTTTGTGATGATAGGGTAAATTTATAATAGCTTAATATAATCTTATGATTTTAAAGACATTGGTGTTTTCAAATCGAATGAAACATTTTTCTAACCATGATCAGAGATTTCTCGTTGTGAACAATAACTTGCATTATTTTAACCAATGTGCGACATGTTTTCTCATTAACCATTGATATTGTGCAATTTTTATTTTCAATTTACAGCTATGAACTTGTTGATATGTGACTACC